ACACACCTGGGATCAATAGAACTGAAAAGGGGAAACCTGGAACAGATAAGGACAGGAACAGGAAGGACTAAATATGGGCATGGAAGGCACATGGGGAGCAAAACATACACAAAACACTGAACAAAGTCTGACAGCCCCATAGTTGTGTCCAATGTTTCTACATTTTTCATTTACAACTTATAATGGCTTTCTTTCATGTTGTAGACCACGAAATAGCAACTGATTTACAGTTGAGATACAGGTTTTCATAAAAACAAAATAAATTATAAAATGATAAATCTCACAATTGAGCCATTAACCATTCTTTTTTAAGAATAAACAAGCATAAATAAAGAAAAATAAAGAAGCATAAATTATTATATTAATTTAAAATGGGGTGGATTTTCGCAATGGTCTGAACAAAAACAGCAGACGGAATTATTGAAAATGCACATTCATTCTCTGCCAGTAGGCGGCGTTTTTTGAACGTCAGAAATATTGTGGTTTCCACGGTAATAACTGTACACGAAGCAATGCTCCGCTCATAAATGAAAATGCCATCAAAACTTTTCTGAAGACAGTCGGTTCCATTCAGAGATTCATTCATATAAAAACCTGAATTAGTGAGAATGAGAGAAGTGTGGAAAAAAATATAGCCTATATTGACGAGGGAGGTGATCCACTGATGAGTTTCCAGCGTAAGCCTGTGTGCCTGTGCTCAGCACAATTGCCTTTCCCAGTCTCCAAAGCACTCTCCAAAGGCTGTCTAATTCTAAACTTTAAAATACATTTATTTTGAGTTATTTTAACTACAAATTTAAATGAAACTGAAAAAAATCAAGAAAAGGGAATTATACATTTACACACCTAAGGATTATATCAACCAAATGAGTAGCTGCATATGCGTCCTCTACTTGGGTCCTTCTAATAAATGAGTAAGCGGGATTTAAAAACAGCAACCGTTCGCGTGTCCACGCTTAGTGAGCATCTCTTACATGAAAAGCATTTTAGGGGGCCCTTGGCTTTTGGGGGCCCAAGGCGGTCGCCTACCTTTGCCTAATGGGTAAGTCCACCCCTGCCTGGGCTATAAGAGAAAAGTTCTTATGAGGAAAGTCAGCTCATTTATTGGCCATCTTGGTTGTTTTAATTAATTCACTACAATTGAAAATATTTTAATATGTTAAATTACCAATATAATAAGATAAAAATATCATATATTTTACTTCTTTAGCTCAGCCCACACAACACAACTTTATTTATTTATTTATTTATTTATACTACTGTTTAACTGTAAAGTTGGCGGCACTTCCATTTTTTTACAGCCACAATATTGAATGTAATTTGCTCCATTTTGCAATGAGTGGTCTATTCTGTTTCAATGTCTCAGGTTAGAAAAAGAGTTTACTTTAGTTCAATAAAAGTTTATTTTTGAGTTGAAAAAAATGCACCCTGATTATTATTTGCCAAATACGACAAATATTATTGGAATAATATATATATATATATATACTGTATATATAGGTCAATATCGATATTGTCACTGACATCAAGATAGACATGGACTCTTACCTGCGATTCTCACCTGAATGGTGGTTCCTGTGTGCATCCTAGTTTCTCTCCTACCATCTTCGAAGTGATATCTTCTAACAATTTCCAACAATTCTCTCCAAGTGTTCTCCAGCAATCTCTGATCTGCTCTGACCACAGTCCATCCATCCATCCATCCTGCTGATCCCCTGTGTACCTGTAAGAAAGACACTCTACAGTTCCAATCACTATTTATATTATCATTTGCTTAAAGGCAGAGTAAGTGATTTCTGGTAGCCAATGTTGATATTTGAAATCACCAAAACAAACACGCCCCTACCCCAAAAGGGTGCTGACACAAATTTCAAATGGTTTTCAACGGTCGTTTGATCGCGTCCAGTGTAGGCAGACTTTAGCTGTTGTAGACACGGTGTTACTCACCTATTGAGAAGAAACAAAGCAACCTCGGCGTCCGATCGCAGGCCTCCGCTCCTTGAGTTCTCTCCAGCGCTGGAAAGCTGATCCGATATTTACACGGGTCCTACTTCTTGCCTTATCGTTCCGCAGACGTTTTCCTCTTTTGTTTTTTATCCGCCATCTCTATCTTTCTGTCTCTCGGCTCGGCTAATGTCCGTCCCATGCACTGAACGCGCTCTCCTCCACATCACGAGTAGACACTCCCCTTATTGCTGATTGGCTACAAGTTTGTTTTGCGATTCGGCCCGAATCAGTTTTCTAAAGTGTTTTTGAAAAATCACTTACTCTGCCTTTAAGTTACTCACCTTTGCACTCCCACACCATTTCTGTTAAATAAAACTTGTCTGGGTTCATCTGACTTCTTGTGTCAGTGCATCTGTCCTGACATAAGCATGCGATGGTACTAAATTTGTACCCCTAAAAAAAAAAAATTGGAGAACCGTGGTTTGCTGCTTTAGTCCTCTACTGTAGCTGTGGAGTCTGCAGCATATAATTTCAAACAAGTTTTAAACAGTTCTCTGAATTACTCGATTGTGAATTGTCAGTCATGGCAGTCTGAGGTCAAATACTGTTGTATAATGATTGTGATACTATGATTGACTGAACTGAATTTCTACATAGCTGTGCTTGTTTGTGTTTCTTGTACTTGACAAATATACATTTAAAAACACATATTTCCTTTACAGAAACAAGAAGCCAAGCAAGTGACTAACAATAAGAGGAATCATCTACACAAACAGTTCTCTTGTGGATAACCTTTGACTATTCAGTCACTTTTTTCAAGTGCTATATAGCTGCTGGTCTGTGTTACTACAGGTCTGGATGGGGATTTATTTAACACTACACTATAAATGACTTTGCCCATGGTTAAGTCAGGGTGCAGCCTCTCTGCTGTTTAAATCAGGTTAGTGTTACGCACTGCTATATCTACAATGACACCATTCAGAGAGGGTCTTCTGAGATATGAACCTCTTTGAACAGCCTTGCCTTGGGCATTTTAGAATTCATGGTAAATATGGGGCCCAATTTTGTGAAAATATAACAGACTGTTTCTGACAGTCCATTAGACATTGTGTATTACTAAAATTATATCAGAAGGATAGAAGTACTATGACGTTACAACTGCTTTTGATTTAAGCCTTGCAGCATGTGTCTTATTGGCCTGCAAACTTACCTGCAAGCACTATATACCAGAACATCATTATCGGCCTACATATCATTATGAACACTAAACATTACCAGAATCACCTTGGACTTTTGTGCTACATAATTATTCAGTATCTGTCATGGTATACCTCAAAGTACCATGGTTTAACCATCTGTGCAACACTGCACCATGCTGTTACAATTCTATAAACAATTCGGTAAACACTCAAGAATATACCATGAATCATTTAATTACAATAATATATCACATAAATTAATTCCAAACATTTAATTAGTCTGTAACTATTTATTGGTGATGATATTTGCTAAAACCCAAATCTAAGTCTATACCTAAAGCTACCCCTCACAAAAAGTTGCTGCAATAAACTATCTATCTATCTATCTATCTATCTATCTACTATCTATCTGTCTGTCTGTCTGTCTGTCTGTCTATCTATCTATCTATCTATCTATCATCTATCTATCTATCTATCTATCTATCTACTATCTATCTGTCTGTCTGTCTGTCTGTCTGTCTATCTATCTATCTATCTATCTATCTATTCAGCAAGGATGCATTAAATTGATGAAATGTAAGAGTAAAGACATTTATAATGTTACAAAAAATGTATATTGAAAAATTCAATTCTTTATGTTCATCAAAGATTCCTGGAGGGAAAAAAATGTATATGGTTTCCACAAAAAAATTTAAGCGACACAATGTTCTAAACATATAATAAGAAATGTTTCTTGAGCACCAACTGATTACAATTATTTCAAATTAATTTCTGTGATTTTGTAATAACAGTTATCATTGAAAAATTATTAAATTATTTTATTATGATTAATTTTATTATTATTATATTATTTAAATTCAAATGAAGCCTTGGTATCCCTAAACTTTTAAACGGTAGATTTAAAGTAGATTTTAAACATGATTTGGCCCAACAAATATAGGCAAACCTACACACACACACACACACACACACACACACACACACACACACATTCTTGTTGGGTTTCCAGGTTTTATGAGGACTTTAGATATAGATATAATTATTTCTGTACTGTACTAACTGTATATTCTGTGAACTAACCCTACCCCTAAACACAACCCTCACAGAAAAAACTTTATGCATTTTTACATAGTAAAAAAAACCCACCACATTTTGTATAGTATGTTATACACAAGATCAAAAATTCCCACAACATAGGGAATTCCTGAACCAAGCGTGCACACACACACACACACACACACACACACACATTTAAACTGTGTAGGTTTATTCATTTGATCTACCTAGATTAGTGGTCTTAAATGGTTAGATTTGTGACATCAAGTGAGCACAATACCACTGTTATGCATTAACATTATTTCTAAATAATAATTTAAAATTTGGTAAGCCGGTTTATTTTGCCTGTTTATAATCCTGATTAATATATGATTAGTTAAGTTTTATGTATGTATGTATGTATGGACAGTATGTATGTATTGATTGATTTATTTTGGTCAACAAAAATCATACAGGCTACTAATAGTCCATTGAAGAGTATACGTTTTTTATAAATATAAATTAAAAAACAAAAAACAAAAACAACAAAACAAAACAAACAAAATAATAAATACAGATCCTGATTATTAATTACAATCAGGCGTTTAAATTATATATGTACATTACTGTAACTTTATTTAGAGTCAGCCAGAACTTTATTGTAATAAGCATCAGTTTATCAAGGATTGATTACTGCTGCCTTGCTGTTTCCGCATTTGACGGAATATCGGATATTGTAGTCCACTAACTGCATCTGAACTCTTGAAAAGGGGCGTGTCGTAACCTTACAACACTACAATTCTCATAATGCATCGCACCACAAGCTTGCCGAATGTACGCCGGCTGACAACGCGGTTCTGACGGGTCCAGCTAAGAGAGTCCACTTTACCTCAAACTCTTCACCGCTATCAACTTTAATTTATCAGTGGTCAGTCACCATTCATATTTGTAGAACTCAACAATGTTTTTGTGTGCCGAGGCTTTTCAATACACTGATGTGAACATGCATAACAGACGTTAGCTCTGTTGTCATGTGCTGCTTATCTCTGTTTTTGTCAGGTTTGGCGAAAATAACACTTTATATCGTTTAGTTTATAGACCCTGAAACGTGTGTGTGTGTGGTTTCGTGAAGTAGTTAATGAGTTTGTTTACGTAATGAAGTTGCTGTAGTCATATTGTGTTGTCACCATTAGTTAAACAAACACGTATTGAGACATCTTATAAGGATGTAGTTATTAAAATATCACGTATTTATCAGTATCATAACACGTTAGATCAGTATTAAGCAGTTTGTAGTGTCGTGACAGTCTTATGTATACTTGCACAGGCTGAAAGGGTTTGACACTTCAAATGGGATAAAGTGCCATTTATTGTATTAGCACAAGCAGACTTTTGAAGCAGGGTATTTCACAAATAAGGTTGGTTAAGTTTCAAATGATAAAACAGTATATACATATTGTATATATACAACATACACTTTTACAACATATTGTGACAGAACAATTTTTGATTTAATTTTCTCAGCCATCTTTTGTGACTTTGTGTCAGGTGTTATGCACCCTAAATAAAATGAATGGATACGATCTATAATGTCTGCTCCGTTAAAGGCATAAAGGAACTGTCTATATTGACATTTGTCATCGTTCTCACATGAACAGGGCTGTCCACAGACGACCATGTCTCCTCCTCGGCTCACTGGAACCCTGCGCTCATTTTCTACTGTCAGCAAACAGGAGGATTTAACACAAGACATATATGATCTAAAGGTAAGACAACATGAATTCAACTGGAGCTTTGTTTAATGATTTGTTTAATATTTTGTCATATTTTAGTTTTGTTTAACTAGTTTTTGCGTTTTAGTTTTAATGGTTTGTTGCAATTTGGTGCATGCGTTAATATAGAAATCAACTGATGTAATCACATGCTTGTGTAATTGGCTGTTTTTATAACAGCTAGTTCACCCAAAAAATTTAAGTTCGGTCATCATTTACTCACCCCCAAGTTGTTCCAAACCTGTATAAAGTTCTTTGTTCATTTGAACACAAAACAAGATATATTGAAGAATTTGTGTAACCAAACAGTTGTACTGTGGAAGTCAGTAGGGTTCATCTGCTGTTTGGTTATCTTCTTTTATGTTCTTGAGGGTGAGTAAATGATTTTTCATTTTTGGTAACACTCCAAAGAGAAAGGAAAAATTGAAATCGCATCATATGACCCCTTTAAGGGCTTATATAATGCGCGCGTATGCACGCACACATGCACATACATGTATTCTTAATTTGAAAATTAGTGTGAATAATACTTTCATTGTTGAATGTTTTGGATGCATGTACCCATAGAATATATGCATAGAATATGCAGTCTTTATTAAATATTAAATCTAAATTAAATAGGGAAATTCAGTGCCAAAAATAGTTTTGAATTGTATTCATTTTCGTGTCAATCAAACCTGTTGTAGGTATGGCAGTATAATTTTACATACTCGTAGTGCTCTTATTTTAAACTTTAAGTGCTGGGAAGACTTGATAGTTTATAATAACTCATGACCTTCAATTATAGGTGTTGGGAATTTAAAACAATTATTTAATGGTGTTTGCTAAGACAGGCAGCACAATTACTATTGCTCATACTTAGGGATATTTGGGGTTTGAGATTTGAACAAAGCCCTAACCCTAAGTGTTAAATTTGAGCATGCTGTGTTTGTGCTACAGTTGAAAAGTAGTTCAGGGGTCGGTAAGAATTCTGAGTTTAAGCTTAAGTTTAAGTCTCTTATGCTCACCAAGGCTTCCTTTAATGGATCAAATACGGGAAAAATACAGTAATAATATGAAATATTTTTACAATTTAAAATAGCTGTTTTCTGTTTGAATATATTTAAAAATGTAATTTATTCACGTGATTGTAGAGCTAAATTTTCAGCATCATTACTCCAGTCTTCAGTGTCACATGATCCTTCAGAAATCATTCTGATGTGCTGATTTGGTGCACAAGTAACATTTTTCATTATCATCAAAACAGCTAAAAACAGTTGTGCTGCTTAATATTTTTGTGGAAACCCTGATATATTTTTTACTTTGAATTGAAAGTTCAAAAGAACAGTAATGTATTCTTGCTGAATAAAAGTGAGGGTGTATTCACACCAGGAAAGTCCGCTAGTTCACTTGCTTTGGTCCGGACCAAATACAATGTTGATTTTTTTTGTTTGGTGCGGTACGCTTTCACACTGCCCTTTTTGCAAGTGAACCAGAAATTGTAAACAAAACTACACGTGTGCTAAAGTCATCCATTCATTGGACAGAAATTCTCAAGCAGGGAAAACAGGAAGTGCAAAAACAGGCTAATCATGTAGATCTTTCGTAGTGCAATTTTTATTCTTTTACTGATTTGGTGTTATCAGATACTAACGCGATATGAAGAAACTTATGAGCATCATATGAGACAATGTCATACGATGTTGTAATTACTACTTGGCGAAAATAAAATCTATAGATATAAAATACTTAAAACATATCACAATGTTAGTTTAAACATTTAACCTATATAAATGTGCGCTATTAGTTGCATATCCAATCGTTTGTGCGGAGAGTGGAAGCTGAAGCGCGCTTCAGGACATCAGTGGAAACAAATTAAATACGCCGTCATTTTTGTTCATAAAGGTAAGAATAATACATCGTTCGGAACTGTAAAGGGTCTATTTTTATTTGTGTGCATTCACAATATCAACAAAACGTTGTGCTTTTGTAAAATAAAGAAAAAAAAACAGGATGCGCTTGCCGCCTCGGTCTTGAGCAGGAGCGCTTCACAAAAATGAACCGAAAATCAGCGAATATTTTCCTTACAGACATGATGAATATATCTATAGAAAGCTTTAAATTACTACAAAACGAAATAATTCAAATCCAAAACAAAAACTCTTTCATTATGTAATCCAAGATGCATTTCTTTGATGAGATGGTGAGTCAGGATCATCAATTTCATCTTTGCGACACTGACTCAGAAAACACTATTTTATTAATAAATGATTCAAATATCTCCTTACTATTTCCCCCCAACATATACATGGTAACTTTTGTGGCAAGCTTTAGCCTATTTAGCACGCTCACGTCACGTTGGTGTGCGCCATGGTCTCGAAAACTCATCATTTGCATGCATTTTTAAGCATTGTGGTTTAAAAACAAGTGATTGAAATGCAAAAAACAGCACTACATGTGCAAGCTGTCTGTTTCTGAGCGTGATTTCTGCAATTGGGTCGGTTCGAGGTCGGGTCATATTCACACCTTAAACGCACCGTACCAGAGTTCGTTAGGAAGCAGACCGAGACCACCTCTTCAGCTGGGTCTCGGTACGGTTGTTTGGTCCGCACCCGAGTGCGATTGCTGTATTCACACCTGCCCAAAAGATCCGCACCATGAGTGGAAACGAACTTGAGTTCGATTCAGTTGAACCAAACAAGACGGGTGTGAATACACCCTGAGACTTTCCATAGGTCCTGAAGCATATCTAGGGACCAGTAGGCCTCTATGAGGTTGTTTTTACATGTTAACATCAGTTTAAAATGGGACAGTGTTACAGGTGTAAATGGGGTCCAAAATGGTTTGAGATTTGTTAGCTTTCTGACAAAAAACATTTAAAATTCAGTTAATACAGCTACTTCACTAAAATAAACTTGAAATAGTGAAATAGGTTACCAATTCACTTGAAATCCAATCATAAAATGGAGGTGTAACAGAAACAGCAGTGTCTCGGCTGACCAATCACAAATCTTAATTCTAGGTTTAAACAGGACCATTCTAGATTTCAAACTTGCTGAAAATCCCCCCAAAAAAAAGCCTAATACTACCCTGGCACTTACAACACCACTTTGCACGGGCAAGCTTCAGAATATTTAAGAAATGTAGCTATTATGGCATTATCTGGACAAGCAATGTCTAAACTGTATTTATCAATCACCTGTAGTCATGTCTATGGCTTGGAACATAATCAGCAAAAGTTAGGAAATTTAACCAATGGATTAGCTGTGATATATGGATTTAAGTGGATTTAAGGCCACAGATATATCTGCAAAGTGCTGTTTTATGCTGATAATATCGGCCTACAGATTTATATCGCTTTAATTAATAGCCAAAACAGCTTTTGTCTCTCTGTAATCTGATGTCCTCTGTCTGTACTTCATTTAATCGTGTTTCTTTGACCTTGAGAGTATGATTCATAGTGTATTAAATGAGCTTTGACCGCTCTGTTTCTCTTTAATCTCTCTCTCTCTTGACTTTGCTTTTATTGGGATTTTGCGGAAGCAGAAAGCCACACCTCAGTTCAGCGTAAATTTTTTGCTCGTCTCTAAATTCAGATTTCTTTATCGCCACTGCTGCTGCTTTTGGACCGAGAGCGCAGGGTGCAAGTTTTTCCAAGCGCTCACTCATAATGCTGAGTTTGAGAGGGCACTGAAGTGCTGATACAATGGCGTGGTGTTAATTTACTCACTGACCCGGTGACATGACCTATTGAGCAGACATCACAAAGTGAGGCATTTATTCAAATAACCCTTTCACTGTACCATTCAGCTGTGTGCAGTGGAACTAGTTTCATTAATGTTTTTAATGATTTCAGGTTTGCTAGTCTCACAGGAATTGGTGATTAAAATAATTATATCTCAGTATTTTTCATCATTTTTATTTTTCATGTGTATCTTGATATTTATATGGAATCATTTTTATCTCACAATTCAACCTATTTTCTCAATTTCACAGTTCTGACTTTGTTCTTTAAATTGTGAGACGTAAACTCAGTCTACATCAAGAAATTCTGAGTTTATATCTCGCAATTCTGTTTTTTTTTCTGCCACATAATAAAAAATGGAAAAGGTAATTGCGACTTTTTATCTCATAATTCTGACTTATTTTCTCAGAATTGCAAGGAAAAAGTCAGAATTGTGTGACAAAAAGTTGCAATTACATTTTATTTTAATTCCTGTTGCGGAAACAGGCTTTCATATATTTATGTAGTTACGCTGAACATTTCTGAGTGAAACAGCTTATTGAACAAAAATTTTTTTAATAAATAATAATAATAATTTGAGAGAAACTGGATTTAATTAATTTTATTTTATTGGTTTGTAAAAAGTCGAATCTGAGGGGGCTTTCACACTAGCATTTTTGGTGAGCACCCGGGTTCATTTGACGTCAGAGTTCACTTCATTTGGATAATGTGAACGCTGTTTTCTGAACTCGTGTGCCCACACGCAAACCGTACCCGATGGTCTGCCTGAAAAGGGTGGTCTGGGGCACGGGTCATGTGAATGCAATCGTACTAAATCACGGTGAACCGCTATTAATGACGTATGAATTGTTCAAACTGTGTATTTATGTGTTTACTCCCTTGCTTTTCTGATAAGCGTGACTGACGCGCTGCAGCAGAGAGAATTTATATTGAATTTCTGTGCGCAGAAATTGACTCCCGCGTTCTTTTGAACCCTTTGAATTACAGTCGTGACAGATATATGTGCTGTTTTGTGTTAGAGCTTGGGAAATGAATCCAAATTTTCAAAATCCAAAGTACAAAGATGTAGAGAGCAAGTATCCAATCTTTTCGCCGTCTTCTGCGTAGTCATTACCTAGTAACCAAAAAAACTAAAAAAAGTGATGTCTAAATATGTTCAGACCACTCATTTGCGTAGCAACATCGTTGACAGCTGTTAATGCACAATCACTGTTTTAGATCGACTAATTGTAATACTGTATAAGATTTCCACTCAAACCGCATAAATCTAGGCTATGTGCTGCCGCTTTCAGAGCAAAATGCAAAACCGATATTTCATTCACTGACGCGCTAAACCCAGCAGCACATACTTACTTCAACCCGCCTGCTGATTTTAGGTTTGAAAACGTTGAAAAAAAAAATAAAATATATATATATATATTTATTCCATGGTCTGTCTGAATACTG